GAGGAAGTCTTTGGAAGCTTCATAGGTCCGGGTCCATGGGTTCGGGTTCCACAAGAGTTCCTGCAAGGGGTACTACTGTTGATGATATAAATCCTGCATTACCCATGCTCAGGAATATACCATAATTCCCATAGTTTAGGGTCCTTAAGGTAATGCAAGATTTATATCATCAACCGTATGAAGGAACCATGAGGAGAGCTATAAGGGTTACCGTACCGGGGTATATACCCGTTTTGGGGGTGTTTCTGAGCTTTGGGAGGTTGTAGACGTTAAGGCTTCCTTGGTATTTGGGCTTAGGGTTTTCTAGCAGATGGGTCTATGACTATCCCTAACCCCTCCAGATACCTACTAGATAGGGTACTAGAGCCACTGGGGCCCTATGTACTAGGTACCTGGAGGGTTAGGGCTATGGTTTTGGGAGAAGCGTTCTGGGGGCCTCGGAGCTGGGGCGTAGGGGTTGCGGGAGCGTTCAGGCGTTTGACGGCATTGTGGTGTTTAGGACATGGCGATACGGGTCATAGAACCCTGGGACGTGGTCTCGGAGTTTCGTCGAAATCCTAGGAACCCACTAAGACCTTCATGAGATTGAGGTGGGCGCAGGTTGGATCCCCACTGCTAAGCCGTGCCGTGCTCGTGCCATACAGTCGTCTTCTAGCAATTGCCTTGCACAGGGCATGTAACCCTCAGCCCTAAACTGCGTAGCTGTTGAGTGAAGTCCCCAGAAGCTTTGTCCGGCTTGTTGGATTGACGCCCCGAGACACAGAACCCGCAAAGATTAAAGACCTAAAGCCATCTAAAGCCCGAGCATCTTGAAGGGGAACCCACATACCCCGACAGTACCGTTGCAGAAGCTTGAGAGGGAACCCGATATAGGCAAGGTTTGATCGGGCTTTGCGGCCACGCTGAGAGTCTCGGGGCAACTCCGGTAGGGTTCAGATCCTGATCTTTACCCATAGGCCCCTAAGTAGTTCCTTTTTATGGTTTATATTTAGAATCCTTTCAGGTAATCCCAAAAAGGAACTACAAAGGGCCTTATTGGTTAAGCCGCCCTAAACCCTAAACCCTCAAACCCCCGCTAACTTAATAGTCTTGAGATGTGGAAGCCCCCGAAAAACGCCTCGGAGCGTGTCGGAAGGAGCGGTGCCGTGCACGATTTCCTCAGATCTCGCGTCAAGGTTCCGGGACAGAAATAATCTGGGTTCTTGTTAGTGGAGTTAATTTTAGTTACCATACTAAAGGAGGCATATTATCTACTATAGATCCGCATTATGGTAACTTCAATAACATCCCTGAACAAGATCCCTTTAGTTCGGGGTTCCCTGTGGCTTGAGAGTCTGAGTAGAGAAGCTTAGTATTCAAAGATATCCTCATGGTTGCCATTAAAATACTCCACAACTCTATTCTAATGGATCCAGATGAAGGAGACATAGGCTGTTTTTTTGAAATCACATTTCTCTAGGTCAAGGGTTCTCTGATGAAGACAGATATTTAATGATAATAGCAACAACAAAAATATGATAGTAGGAAAGTGTTTAATGGTAGTAGTAATAGCAGTAGTAGTAGTAGTAGTAGTAGGAGTAGCAGTAGTAGTAGTAGTAGTAGTAGTAGTAGTAGTAAGTACTGGTAAGCAATCTTGGCCGTAGTGGTAATAGTACGAACAATAGTAGGTAGAGGTTACAGTAGTAGTACTAGTAGTTGTAAATAGGAGTAGTACTGCAATAGCACCAGTGTTATTAATTGTCATAGTCATGGTCATAGGCTGAGTCAGAGTCACAGTAAGAGTAGTAATAATAATAGCAACAGTAAAGGTAGTAGTACTAATAGTGGTAGTAATTGAAACAGTAATAGCCTCGCCATGATTGCATACATACAACCGTTTACCCCAAGCCAAGCTCCCCGAAAACTTTAACAGTCCAAAATCCGATAACCATTAGATCCTCCTTAGGCGTTCGCGGCCGTTGGGAAAGCACGCGAGCAGCCGTCCCTCTCTGCAGTCCAGCCCACTGAAGAAGAAGGCATTCCTGATAGTCCGAACTCGATGGTCCCTTGGTGGCGGAGTGGAGGAGGGTTACTTCCGGGTAAGCCTTGCAGTCGAGCTTTCGGGTTTCAGAATGCTCGGTCGTCGCAGGGAACAACTCGAAAAGTGGGCCAGGGTACGCCGATGTGGGGCTGAGGCTTTTGGGCTTGGGAGGTTCCAGGTTTGGTTTGCCATCGAGTGCTGGTCCCTTCTAAGAGTCAGCCTTCGTGGAGTGGACCCCGCAGTTGTAGAACTCATGAAGTCAAAGTCAACAAGCGTCGTGCAAGTCAAGCCTGCAAGTTTGCAGGTCAGCGTAGGTCGGTAATACAGAGGCAGGAGCATGTGGAAAGTAGTTCCGTATTCAGGAACTCCAGTCAACCAGTGACTCACCCTCAAGCCCTGCATTTTGGGGTTGCTTGAGTTTTGTTATGAAACGTATTCTAATGTTCCTTTGAAAGCAGGCCATACGTCACAGCTGCTTTGAATTTGCCAGCACCCAATGTAGAAATAGCCCCAGCAGCTCCCCAGACTTAGCTTACTGCCTGTGCTCCTCACAGTGGTTTAGGTGTTTAGGGTTTAGGGTTTAGGGGTTTAGGGTTTGTGCATCAGAAAGTCGTTTCGGGTTTCGCAAGCAAGGGGTTCTACTACTAGCAGCCGACGGAAAACTAGAGTCCCTAACTAGCTACAGGACCTGGGCCTGTTGGCTGATTCTCATCTGGGTAATTCTCTAAATTAGGCCCCCCTTTTGGGTCTCTCATACAGTACGGCACCCTTATGAAAAAGGACCCATCTGAGTCTGGAGCCATGTCACAACTCCAGCTTGACCCCAGCACCTTCACAGCCCATACTGTTCAGCCACTGACAGAGGTGTTTCTTGAACTTGTTAGGGACCCTAGTGATGAGCGGTTGTTTTAGGGTCCACCCCCCTAACCTCGTGTTCAGCGCATCGGCTGAAGATGTGAGGCCATTGCTTACTAAACAGCAAACCGAAGCCAAGTCCTGAAGCAGGAAAACGCAAACCCCAAACTCCCAGACCACAGAAAATTCTGACTGCTGAGGCTGCTACCTTCACTATGGGCCTCCTGTCTCCTGAAAAGCCGCTCCAACAAAATTGTAGCTTCAGGGTTGAGGTAATGACGGGGCTACGGCCATCTATCTATCTATCTATTTGTCTATCTGTCTATCTAGCTGCCTGTGTACCTGTATTTGTCTACCCTTATCTAGTCTATCTATCTATCGACCTACCTATCTACCTAATCTATCTACTTATCTACCTATCTATCTATCTATCTATCTATCTGCTTGTCTATCTGTCTACCTATCGATCTATCTATCTACCTATCTACCTAGTCTATCTGTCTATCTACATATCTACCTATCTACCTATCTATCTATCTATCTATCGATCTATCTATCGATCTATCGATCTATCGACCTATCGACGTCTATCGATCGATCTATCTATCTATCTACCTACCTATCTAGCTATCTATCTATCCATCTATCTATCTATCTATCTATCTATCTATCTATCTGTGCGTGTGTGTGTGCGCGTATGTGGGTGTAAAAAATGGCTTGGAAGTTGTTCTGATGGATGTGGTTAACTCTTGATGGTGTCATCCACATCAATCCAGATTCTTGATATGGAGCAGAACCAATTTATGTTACTGCCGCTGGTGTCGATGGCATTGACATGAACGATGATGCTGTTTTTCATCTTGCAGGTAACGGTGTTGATGAAGACGGTAATTAGTGATGTCTGCTACTGCTCCAACGCTGGTCATGTTGATGGCAATGATAATGGTGATGATGTTCAGGGCCTTGCATTTGGTCACTTGCTTGTTCTGTTCGTAGAGACCGTTCAGTCCATCTTCCGGTCTGCGAGCATTGTAGACACCCAAGACGCTGCAGAATTCAGAAGCATGTTTCAATGTAAGCAATGCACCGAGCGCAGTTCGTAGAGCCCACCGTGAGCGCATCGGCAAGGCAACTGGAGACGTTTCAGGCCGACATTGCCTACTACACCTTGATTCAGGCCACCCGTTGCCCTGTAAACACCCGGGTGGAGAAGTTGTGAGTTCAGGGGTGCTTCTTTCACGAGCACTGCAGATTGCATCCTGGATTCCTGGGCTTTCAACCCTCAGCTTTGACTTTGACTTGAGAACGAAGATACATAGAAGTACGCTGGCTCATAATGTATACGCTCTCAACCGCAAACCCTAAATCTCCAGCCCCTACAACACGCCACTGGACTTGAGTTCGCGGCGTTTGGTGTTCAGGGCACTCCGTTGAGGGTCTATAGTTTCAGAGTGTTTACTAGGTTTCCGCCGGTGTGCGGGTTGTATAATGCTTCTGTAAAGATTTAGGTCAGTCAGGGTCTATGGTTTCAGAGTTGGGTTTAGGTGCTGGAGTCAGAATTCAGGGGTTCTGGTGTGGGATTCCTGAAGCCATTCCAAAGTCTTTGACAGTCAAAGGCAATATCGGAAAATGCAGGAACATGTAACGAGCAACTAGGAACTAGCATATTCCCCTTGTTCGGTCCACATCCTGCCAGAGCTGAGCGAAGCGCTCTTGTCAACAAATGCGGAGCCTCGAGCCTCCGTCATGACTTCCATGTCGTGGGGACTGCCCGAAAGGTAAACCCGCGACAACGTTAGGCAATGGAAGCGGTCCCCATCCTTCCTGCTTGCGATTTGCTACATTGCATTTTGGGGGTCGCGGTCTGTGGATCCTCTCAAGCAACACAGCCCTGAAGTGTTAGCTGGTCCTCAAAACCTGCATCCAGCTTGCTGGAAAGCGTAATTACTCGCAGCACGCATGCGGTAAACATGGCTTGATTAAACTGAAAGCAAGTTAACAATGAACGGTTAAGCCACCTTTCATGGTTGACACGCCAGCTTGTAAGCACTTCACAAATATCCTGAGCTCCACCCAAAACCCCAAACCCTAAACCCTAAACCCAAAACCCTAAGCCTTCCCGCAGGGCCATTGGCCCTTACTGCTTATTCACCGTGGCGACGTCTCTGGTACGTCGCTTTGCCGACTCAGGGGTTTAGGGTCCCATACCGGCGCCTTGCTACTTCGGGTTTAGGGTTTGGGGTTTAGTTTAGGGTTTAGGGTTTAGGGTTTCTGGGGCTTAGAGTTTGTAGAGTCCAATGGACTGTTCAACTCTTCGTTAAGACACTCTGCAGGGTGCATGCACGTGGTGGGTAGATTGGCAAAAGACTACACTAGCGGGTTTCCAAGGATCATGTGTCGATCGAACGACTACGTGCTCAATCCCAAAAACATGAGGGCCACCACCGCCAAAACCTTCTTCTTCAAATTTAAGTCCCGAGCTTTAGGCGACCTTCTCGCCAGTGATGTCACCGACATGAGCATCCTTCATGGCGACACCAATGCCCTTACGGTGGGGGAGTCTTGGGATTTCGATGGGCCGGATATTTCAGGGTTTGAGCTGGGGTGGCTCCATGAAGCTAGCCTCTTTCAAGGCCACTCCTTATTGTCATGTTTTGTTTGTTTGTTTGATTACAGTTGCTATTATCATTCGTATTCTTATGGTTGCTATGTCTAGGACATTTTCAGGTGGGTAGTTAGATACCGTTGTAGGAGCCTTATAGAAGGTCTATATACATCTTATAGAAGCCTTACAGAAGCCCTATATACCCTAAACTCCCCACCTGTACTTTCCTTCAACTATGATTCATTTCTGTTCGGAGCAGGGGTCCCACGAAACTCCACATACTCTGTCGAGGACTTCCTGCGCGAAACCCCCAGATTCTAAGCAAACACCAGTCTCAAACCATTGTAACGCCCCCGCCCTCCAGATACCTTAAACCCTAAACCCTGTATGTATGTGTGTATATATTTATATGTATTTTTTATTAAGTCTTAAAAGGGCTATAAACGACTGAAACGCCCTAATCCTGGTGCGAAGCCCTAGCAGCGAAGCCGTTATGAATTGAACCAGGTCTTGGATGAAGAATAGTCTATACCTGTAATACTCCAGACCTCCGCGCAAGGCAAGAGGGTTTCGGGTTCAGGTCGTGCGAGGATTTTGGTTTCAGGGAGTTGAGGATTTCGTTTTTTTTTTCTGCCACTGGATGCGGTTCCTGCATGAAATTGCGCTTGGGGGTTTAGGGTTGAGTTTCGAGGGTTTGAGGCTTTAAGGATTTAGGAAGATTTAGTGTTTACTGGATGGAGCCCTATAGACCTCCCTGGCCCCCAACCCTCCACCCCCTTGCAGCTCGATGAAGCTTAGAGAGTCCTCGAGATTAATTACGGGTTTAGGGTTTAGGGTTTAGGTTAGGGTTTAGAGAGCTAGTTTAGGCTTTACCAATGGCTCTGGCGCCGATCATACGCCGCTAGTACTTGAAGGGTCACACCGCTGTATTGGCCAAGTGGTCATAGCCAGTTAGATTGTAGGGTTTGGGGGTTGTCCTAAACCCTAAACCTTAAACCCAGGGTTTGGGGTTGTCCAGGATTTCAGGGGATGTAGGGTTTCCGAGTTTTAAAACTTTAGGGGCCTGCAGCCAGGGGCCCTTGTGCCCCACCGTGACGCCCCAATGAATCCTGGGGTTTAGGGTTTAGGGTTTGGGGGTCCCAAATCTTAATTCCTACTGTAAACCCCACATCCTCACTACGTCACTTTCGGGCAGGTCCTCGTGATTGCCTCCGTTTGGCTCTTTGGCTACCGGCCCTCTAAGCCAGCCAGGCTGCTGATTTGGATGTCCCTTGGTTAGGGTTTTGTGGACATTTGTTGTTGTTGTTTTTCCTTTTTTTTTGTGTTGGGTAGTTCTCTAATTTAGGGTTCTTTATGGGTCCCCTATATTTAGTACGACACCTTTTTTAAGAAGAACCCTAAAAGGGACCCTAAGTTGGAGAACCACCCAGATCTGTGAGCCATTAGAGTTGAGAGGTTGAAGGTTTCGAGCTTTTAGTTTTGAGGTGTTTCTTGGGTTGATTCCTTCAGTTTTACTAATCCGTAGTTACGCCTACGCCTACGCCGTAATTATTTCTCATGCCCGTAAGATTCTAAAGTTCTGGCCGATTCAAGCCTTGGCATTACGATGGTTATAGTTGTTGTGGTTGTTGTTGTGGTGGTTGTTGTTGATGATGCTGTTGCTGTTGCTGTTGCTCCCGTTGTCGCAGTCGCTGTTGTTGTCGTCGTCGTTGTTGCCGTGTTGCTGTTGCTGGTGCAGTTGTTGCTGCTGTTGTTCTCATTAGTTGTCGAACCTAGGACATGAAAGACCGATTCGTGTGTGTGTGTGTGTGTTGCGGATGGATGGTTCGTCACGATAATGGGAAATTCAATCGTAAGCGGTCAGCCACGCGACGGGCTGAAGGTTTCAGCCTTTAGTGGTGCGGTGCATGTGCTTCGTCACCATATTTTGCATGGCCGGACGTGAGTCAAAGTTGTGTCTTAAACCAGTGTTGCTGAGGTTTTTAGCCGCCTGGTACACATACCGCCTGATCGACGAACTCTATTCATCAGAGGGGTTCCTGTACGAAGACATCTGGCTCAACCACATGATCTTTGTGACCATGATCTCGTGTCTTGCCAATGCACTGAAGCACACCTTTCTTCTTTCAGAGCCCGAAGTTGATGAGCCGACATTGAAATTGTTGAAGGCTTCGTGTTAAATTGAATAATTATTGTTGCTGCCAGCTGCTTGCGCCAAATCTATCGTTCTAAACACTGTATTGCCTGCAAGGGCCGCGAACTGAACACCGGACTCCGGACCGCCAAACGAAGAGTGCTATGCAAGAAACTCGAAGCTTTCACCCTTGGGTCTTGTTTTGCACTCGGGCCCGGCTCGTGTCCCAATTCCTGTGATGCACTTCCGGGTTTAGGGTTTAGGGTGAGGTGTCAGAAGGTGACAGACAGTTCAGGGTTTCGGTTTGCTTATGCCTGTGTCGTCTAATCAGGACTGCCGAGAACATGCCCTGTTTTGTGCATAAGCAGCAAGCTCTTAAAGCATTCTTAAAGCCCATCGTACTCGAGATGTGGGTATCAGAACATGAGGAAACCGCAAACGGATGAACAGTAGGATTGCTTAAAACAATGGGCCCCTGAAGAAAGAACCTGAAATTCCTAACACCGTGAAATGCAAAACATTTGAAGCAAACGTCATGTTCACAGACATACACATGCAGACACACACATGTGTATGCGCATATATATATATACACATATGTAAACTGATATAGACGTATGTATGTATGTAATGTATGTAATGTATGTATGTATGTATGTATGTATGTATGTATGTATGCAGTTGGGAAGTTCGTCGAGGGTGGTTAGGCTAAGGGTGGTTAGCACTTAGGGCCGAAACAATCCACATAAACATGCAAAATTACACGCATCCATCCATCCATCCATCCACCCATACATACATACATACATACATACATACATGCATACATACTAATACGTACATACATACATACATACAGACATAGCTGCTATAGCTGATATAGTGGAGGTAAATCCGTCTAAAGCCCGTATGTAACCGCGGGCAATCTTTCAACCCAAGCCTGCAAATCCGCACAATTATTGAGAAATAGAAACACACCCACATACACCTTTTAAGTATAGACATGTGACTGCCACATAGCATACGTATATATGTCTATGAAGGTGTAGAATTTGTTTACGAAGTCTGTTCAACCCCGCTAGGCACAGAGCCCTGAGCCAAAGCACCCTAAATCCTAATAACCCAAAAACCCTCAAGCGCCCAACCTAAACCTTAACAATCTAATCCCGAAGCCCTGAAACCCTTAAGCCCAAAATGCTCTCAACCCTTCAACCCCCAAGAACCTGAACCCTAAAGAAAGCCCTTGAGCCATAAAAGCCGTAAGCCCCTAAAACCTGAAGCACTAAAGAACCCTTGTAGGAGCCCCTAAGCGAGCCTGAAACACTAAAGACCCTTATCGTAATCCTTTAGAGACCTGTTTTGTGATCCGTATGGCCAACCTTAGAGTAGCACTGGAAGAAACTTGAGACGAGCCATAACACCCCACCAACCCTCGACCCAAAACCCTAAACCCTGAGAGCCCTCAACCCCAAGCCCTAAACCCTACAAGCCGAAACCCTTAAGCCTTAAGCCCGACTCTACAAGCCTCAAAAGCCCGAATCCTAAAGCCCTCAGAGCCTTGAACAAGAGAAGCACCAACAAACCCCAAAATCCTAAGTCAGGATGGCTCTCTGTCTTCCAGTGGGCATAATTTGGCGCCCCGGGCGCGAAGTTGTGCACGGGTCTCTGTTTATTAAAGGCCCTTGTACTGCCCCGGTTCCAGGGGAGCCTGAAACTACGCAAGCTACTTGCGGAATGTCCCTTCTGAACTCACAGAAATCATTCTTGCGCGCATGGTCTCTAGTAGTCCCGCGACTCTCTTTTGCGGTAGAAAAGCTTTTGATTGTAGCCGGAGTCAACCGGTCATCGAGCTCGGCATTACATAGAATGATCTGGGCACACTGTCAGTACCCGCTACAAGAGTCGTTGGAGGCTGGGTGTGATCGTTTTCGCACACACAATTGTCATCATCATGCTAGTTCATACTTCCAGCGCCATCACCTTCTTAAAGTTCTGCATGATCATCTGATCCATCACCATCGCCGTCATTATGTTCATGATCATCATCACAGAGCTGCCGAGCATCACCCTTAGCTTCTCCTGCACCATTCCGATCACTGTCCCCGTCGCCCCTAATAATTGGTATGCAAGGGCTCCTATACCAGATGCATCAGGGTGTTACGTCTTTCGGGGCATCGATTTCTCAGCACCCTCCTGGTACAATGACCTCGGCCCCTGCCAAATCTGAAAACCTAACCCCTATCCTAAACCCCTAAACCCCTAAACCCCTAAACCCCTAAACCCTAAACCCCTAAACCCCTAACCCCAAAGCCCCTAAGCCCCTAAACCCCAAAAGCCCTAAAAGCCCTTAGACCTCAGCCCTGAGAGGCACCAAGGAGCCCCGAGACCCTGAACCGTAGACCCTCCCACGACGATGACCTTGGTGCCGAATGTCTTAAACACCCTAAACCCTAAAACCT